TCATATTCTGCTTGGGAACCCTGCAGCCCAATGGTATCAATGTGGACTTCACAAGCTTTAAAATCTCCGCTCCCCCTACTGCTTCCCAAAACCACCCCAGCTTGTCCCTGCCTTCCTAACCTGTCCTTCCTCCCACCTATCCCCTCCTCCCACCTCAACGCCCACCCCGATCTCCTACCTACTAACCTCATCCCGCCCCCTTGACCTGTCCATCCTCCCTGGACTGACCTATCTCCGCCCTAACTCCCCACCTACACTCACCTTTACTGGCTCCATCCCCGCCTCTTTGACCTGTCTGTCTCCTCTCCACCTATCTTCTCCTCTATCCATCTTTTATCTGCCTCCCTATTTATTTCAGAACCCCCTTCCCCTCCCCCATTTCTGAAGAAGGGTCTAGGCCCGAAACGTCAGCCTTCCTGCTCCTCTGATGCTGCTTGGCTTGCTGTGTTCATCCAGCTGTACATCTTGTCATCTCTGTTAATAAAGTGTTTGGATTTTCACTTTTGAATTAGACAACATACCAGTTTCTTTTGTTCCCTTTCCAAAGCAAGTGCTTTTTAAGTTATGGGGTCACATTCAATATTATCAGATATTGATGACTGTTAAACCACACAGGCTTCGATCTGCAGTTCAGCATAAAATGTTTAGCTGCATTGAAAGATACTGTACTGCTGGAACTGAGATAAAACTGAATGTGACATTAAATCGAAAGACCATGTTCTGTTTCTGATCTTTGTCCAGCTGGCAGGTGGGTTCATACATTTATTCTTTCTGATCATGGGTTAGGGTTATTGCTACTAATTGCTCATGCCTCTCATTGATCTGCGTGTTGAGCAAAGTGAGTAAAGAAAGATTGCCCCCTAATCCTGCAGCAGCAAGTAGTCTGCAGTCAAAGCACTTTCGTGAGCAGTAACTAATTGTTCAAGTAAGCATAGTATTACATTTAAGTACTTTGCTCCAGCAAAATTGGAGAAATGCCAGAAAAGTGGCACTGATAGCCTGTGAATATGCAGTTTTTGTTTTCAGTTTTAGTAAAGCGGGTATGCAACTGTAGTGTTATTTGGGCTTTCTTCTGGAAAAGGCTAAAGCACTTCAGTGAACCACCAATACTATTTATTTTTAAATCATGTTTTTGCTGCTGTTTAGAGGCTGCTGATAGTAGTATTAAATCTTTTTTCATGTTTGAATCTTAACTATGCCTTTTCCCATTTGAAATTTTCAGTTGCTGTTGGCTTTGAGTAAGTTACATAACCTGGCTGGCAGATTTCAGTAATAAATGCAGAAACGGCATGGGCTGGATGTTGTGGTCAGGGGCAAAGGAACAATGTCTGCAGTTGATGCCCATGGCTGTCCAGAGATTTTATACAGGCTTTTAAGTGACTACTGATGGTATATGATAAGCAGTTTTAACACAGCAGCCTGCATGAGGGATTTGTGATTAGAGCAAGCAACATCCTGGCTCTTCCAACAATCAAATTGAAGAATCCCCATTGAGAGATGGTGACTAAATGAGGAAGTGTAAATTAAAATAATTGTAAAATTGTACTCAGCAAAGTAAAGAGGGAAAGAAGTTGGGATCAATAGAGACAAAAAATAAAAATCTGTTGTGTCCCGTACTTAAATTCTTACAAAATGAGGCTTCACATTCATAAAATGTAGTTTTCCATGCCAAAGAAGTTAGATTGTGTTTGAAACTTCACTTATATCTCTTGCGCCAGTCCTAACTTTTTCTTGTGTATTTAGTGGATGCATTTTCATGCTGGTTCTCTGAGCAAAGTACAGTTTTAGGGCACTCTGAGGAAGAGCAAAGTAAAAGCAAGAAAATGCAGGTGCCAGAGATCTGAAATAAAATCTGAGAAAATGTGGAGAAACTCCAGGTCAGGTAGCATCTGTGGAGAGAGAAACAGTTAATGTTTCAGATCAATGTCTTTTCAGTAGAATTAGGAAATATTTCAGATTTAATAAGTTTTAAGCAAGGCATCGGTGAGACAAGAACAAAAAGATCTGTGGGGTGGAAAGCAGAATAGTTTAATGGCAGATAAAAACCGAAAGAACTGTGGATGCTGTAAATCAGGAACAAAAACCGAAGTTGCTGGAAAAGCTCAGCAGGTCTGGCAGCATCTGTGATGAAAAAAATCAGTTAACGTTTTGGGTCTGGTGACCCTTCCTCAGAACAGTTTGATGGTACAAGGCAAAAGGGAGTAGAGATGAGGCAAGAAAAGAAACCAAAGATGAGCTAAGAACAGGTGTGTTCTCTGAAAGGGAAAAGAAGAGAATCACCAATACGTACAAAGAAAAGAAAATTGGAGACATTCTGAAATTCTCCATATTGAATCCAAAAGGCTGCCAATTGTGTAAATGAAATGTGAGGTGGTGCTTCTCAAGCGTATTGATCCTCACTGAAACAGTAAAGGACCAACAGCACAAGAGTAAGGTGGAAAATTAACATGACAGGTCAAGGGAAACTGGGTTGTGTTTCTGATCTGAATAAAGAGTCCCCAAATTGGTTACCCAATTTTTGTTTTGCCTCCCCAGTGTAGAGGAGACCACACCTGAGTTGTGAATGCAGTGGACTACATTAAAAGAAAGAGACTCTAGTCTCTGCCTTACATATAATGAGCGTTTGGGGCCTTGTACATTGAAGAGAGAGGAGGTAAAAAGGGCAGGTGTTACATTTCAATTTTCGTGGGAATGTACCAAGGAAATGGAGGGACATTAGAGTGATTTGAAGTGCAGACCCGGGTATTGTGGAAGACTGCTCCCTTTGGAATGCTGAAAGGAGAGAGAAGGGGGGGATTAAGTTTAGTGGCAGAAATTTCTGCAAGTAAATAATGCTGAGATGGAAGATGAGGATGAAGGGAGCCCTTTCATGGTTCTCGGAAAGAAGAGAAACTGTGAGAGCAGAAGGCATTGCCAACTATGATTGGGGAATTCTTGGTTGAGAGTAAAGGCATTTCAGGAGTGCTGTATGGAGCTCGCATCAGTGGAACAGATGTGTTGGAGACAGATGAACTAGGAGAATCCTTTATAGGATCCAGGGAATGAAGAAATGTAGTTGAGGTAGCTGTGGAAGTTAATAGGCTTATAATGAATATTAGTTTCTACACAATTGCCAGAAATGGCAGGAGTCGAGCAAGGGTGCAGTCGGAGGTGGACAATAAGAAATTGAGAAAACATGGAAATTCCAGTTCAGGGGCAGAATCAGACTTGGCACTAATACTATCATCAATGTACCATGAAGAGTTGTGAAGGAGTCTGGGTAGCTTTGGAAATGTGAATGTTCCACATAATCCCATAAAAGTGCAGCCACAGCTAGAGTCCATATAGGTACACCTGGCAGCACTTTTTATATGGATAATAGATTTT